GGGAAGAGTGATTGTGTGGTGGCTGGAATCCAGGGCGCTCTGGCCTGCAGCCCTGTGAGAGCTGAGAGTGACCTACCTTACGAATACACAGCCCAGCCTAGAGTTTTTGGTCTAAGACACCCCTGTGGCCCAGAGCACCCAGCGAGGACAAGCCCTGAGAACAGTGGTTCTCAACCTTCTGGCCCTTTAAATACAGTTCCTCATGTTGTGACCCAACCATAAAATTATTTTCGTTGCTACTTCATAACTGTAATGTTGCTACTGTTACGAATCGTGATGTAAATATCTGATATGCAGGATGGTCTTAGGCGACCCCTGTGAAAGGGTTGTTCGACCGCCAAAGGGGTCGCGACCCACAGGTTGAGAACCGCTGCCTTAGCATCTCCATGTCTTGATAGTTCACTTCGGTGCAACACAGACTCCGGACCCAGACAGACTCAGTTGGAAGCCTGCCTGTGGCATTTCTTGGCTGTGTGACTTTGGGTGAGTCACTTCACCTCTCTGTGCCTCAGTTTCCTCACCTGTAAAATGAGGATAATAATAGGAAGCATATGGAGGGTTGTGGGAAAGACTGCTTGACAAACTGCCCGAAAAGCACTTAATGGCTGGACACTTAGTGAACATTTAACCAATAGTAGATCTTATTAACAGTATTATTATTATTATTATTATTATTCTCCGTGAACAAGCACTCACTGAATCTGTACCCTGGCAGCTCTGCTCTGGCTCCTGGGAATCAGACATGGCCTCTGCCCCCAAGTGACTCAGAAGTCCAGAGAGATAAGGGGCAAAGCTGCGGGAGAGGTCACTTCTGATGGGACATCCGGGAGGGCCTCCAGGAAGAAGCGACCTTGCAGCTGGGCCTGGAAGGGCGGCCTCTTCAGGCAGTGTCTGGGAGTAGCCATCAGGAGTCAGGAGATGGCTGCTCAGTTGGTCTGGGGGAAATAATTGAAGAGAAAACCTCCTGGCTAGACAGGGGTGGCTGTGCGGGGAGAGGCCGAATCAGCTCAGGAGCCCTAACCCTCAGCAGCTGCTTTGCTTTGCCTTTTGCCACTACCACCCATACCACCCTCGTCCCCCAGGGGGTCACTTGAGGCAAAAGAGCAAGAGCCAGGTGGCTAAACAGATGGCTTGTTACCAGGAGGTTAGGAGCCAGAAAAGAGGGAACCTGTGTACCCCTCATTCCCACATCCCAGCTGTGTCAATAGAAAGTTCGCCAGAGCAGGTTCCCATCTCACACGTCACTTCATCTCTCTGAACCGGTTTTCTCGCCTGTAAAATGAGAGTACAGATACTTTAAAGGGCTGTTGTGAGCACATAATGAACAGGTATATGAAGCGTCTGGCATACAGTAAGTGCTTCATAATTACATCTCTTAAGGGAAAGAGCCAGACTGACTCTCCGTGGGAGGAAGTGGGGAGGCTGGGGACCCGCTCCTCCAACTTAATCCCAGCCCCCTGGCCCTCAGGAAGCCCACAGGTCAGGTGTGAGAATGAGGGAGGCCTGAGGGTCTGAAAGCAAATCAATGCCAATCAGGAAGCCCAGGGTGCTCTGGGGCAAAGATGGAGAGAGAAGATGCAGCTACTGGGTGCTGGGGGCTGGAACAGAAGTGGGGTGCCCTCAGGGCCCCTCTTCCCTGGAGTCCCCCATCCTCCTCTGCCAAGGTGACAGCAGCCTGTCCTCACCCATGGACTCCCAGATGTGGACACACACACCGTCATTCAAACACAGACATACACACATGCATACCCAGGGACACTCACAGACACACTTCAGGTCACAGGCCTCAGGGCAGGGGGGTCTGGGGAAGCCGGTTTGATGGAGCAGAAGGCTGCTGATTTCCTGTCCACTTGTTTTTCCCCCCAACCCACACACTTCCCACCTGCTCACACCACCCACCGCTGGGAGCCCCTCCCCCGCAAAAAGTTCCTCAGCCTCATTCTAACAGAGCGGCCACGGGGTTTCAGTTCTTGCTCACATTTTTGTCCCCTGTCGACAGATGAGGAAACAAACTGGAGGCTCAGAGCCAGGACCAGGCTTGTCAAAGGCATGAGGGGGCCTGGAGGAGGCGGGATGCAAACTCAGGCTCACTGCACAGACTCCAAGTCCAAGGCCTTCCCAGAGCCCCTCATCCCAGTCCCCCTACTACGCCTCCTCATGCCTACGCATCCGCTCCCTCCCCAGAAAGAGCCTAGAAGTACAGGCCATGGGAGGCAGCCAGCCCTCTCTTCCTCCCAGGCTTCTGTGGATCCCCTGACCCATGTTTGCCAGTAGCCACTGGGGGACAGGCGGTGGGCGGCGGGGCGCTCGGGGCTAAGACGGTGAGTCAGCTGGTGCCCCACAGCCACGCCTGGCCCAGCCCTGGTAGGCTTTGCTGAGAGGACAAATCTGGAGGCTGGATCGAAGGTCACTGCCGAGGGACGTGTCTACAGCACCACCTGGTGGTGATATGGCACTCCTGTCGCACCCAGCCCTGGTCCTGTCGTCTGTCCCTGTGAGGTTAGCAGGTATTTAGTGAGCAGCTACTACACGTCAAGCACTGGGCGGGCCCTGCACTGAGGATGGGGCTAGGCTGAGAAGGTCCAGGGGACATCACTCTAGGCCAGTGATGGCGAACCTTTTGAGCTCGGCGTGTCAGCATTTTGAAAAACCCTAACTTAACTCTGGTGCCGTGTCACATATAGAAATTTTTGATCTTTGCAACCATAGGTAAAACAAAGACTTATATTTTTGATATTTATTTTATATATTTAAATGCCATTTAACAAAGAAAAATCAACCAAAAAAAATGAGTTCGTGTGTCACCTCTGACACGCGTGTCATAGGCTCGCCATCACTGGTCTAAACTATATGACATTAAACTGATGGAAGCTGTTAGCAGAGCCCAGCAAGGACCCACGATTCAGAGTCAGAATGATGGACTTGACAATAAGCTAAGTGAGTGGGAGACACTGCCATTCACAGGATGTTCAGTGGTGAAAGGAACAAGAAATCAAGCCCACAGCATCTACTAAATGCAAAAAGATTTACACATGCGCCTTTTTATATATTTAAATGCCATTTTAACAGAAAAATCAACCAAAAAAATGAGTTCGCGTGTCACCTCTGACACGCGTGTCATAGGTTCGCCATCACTGGCCTAGGCAGACGGAACAGCAAGTACGACGGCTCTGAGGTGAGGAGTTGGGTGTAACGCAAGAGGAGCAGAGGGGTCAACATGACTAGGCCTGGATGCTGGGGTGTAGGGAGGACGGGGGAGTGGACCAGGATGGTGGCCAGGTCTCACAGGGCCTTTTGGGCTGCAGTGAGGAGTTTGGACTTATTTCTGAGTGTGATGAAAAGCCACAGACTATGATGGATGGTTTAAACTTTACTTTAAATATATTTTTATTGATTTCAGAGAGGAAGAGAGAGGGAAAGATAGAAACATCAGTGATGAGGGAGAATCATTGATTGGCTGCCTCCTGCACGCCCTCTGCTGGGGATCAAGCCCGCAACCTGGAACCCTTCGGTCCACAGGCCAACGCTCTATCCACTGAGCCAAACCAGCCAGGGTGGATGGTTTAAACTTTAAATGGCTGCTGTGAGGAGGCTACAAGGGGAAACTAGGCCCAGAGCAAGGAGAAACACAGCAAGTCTGGCCGGTGTGGCTCAGTGGCTGAGCATCGACCTGTGAACCAGGAGGTATCGGTTCAATTCCCCATCAGGGCACATGCCCCGGTTGCGGGGCTCGATCCCCAGTGTGGGGGTGTGCAGAAGGCAGCCATCAATGATCCTCTGTCATTATTGATGTTTCTATCTCTCTCTCCCTCTCCCTTCCTCTCTGAAGTCAATAATAAAAATATATTTTCAAAAAGATTAGAAGTTATGAGTTCGAGGATCAACCAACCCAGTGGGGGTGGCACCAGGGAGGACTTTCTGGATATGGAGGCATCTGAGCTGGGTCTTTTTATTTTTATTTTTATTGATTTCAGAGAGGAAGGGAAAGGGAGAGAGATAGAAACATCCATGATGAGAGGAGAACCATTTTCTATTTTATTTTTATTATTATTTTTTCTTTTTGTTAATCCTCACCTGAGGATATTTTTCCATTGATTTTTAGGGATAGTAGAAGAGAGAGGGAAAGACAGAGAGAAACATCGATGTGAGAGAAACACATCGATTGGTTGCCTCTTGTACCAGCCTGACCAGGGCCCAGGCCTGGGAGGAGCTTTGCAACCATGGTACTCGCCCTTGAATGGAATTGAACCTGAGACCCTTTGGTCCCCAGGCTGATACTCTATCCACTGAGCAAAACCATCTAGAGCTGGATGTGATAACGTCTAAGGTCTTTGTTGTCCAAAGCCTCTGACCCTGGCACCCAAGAGGAGAAGAAATGGCACGAGGAGGAAGCGAGAGATGGGTCCAGGGCTGTGTGGGGACCAAGGAAGAGGTTGGAAGGAGGGTGGGGTGGAGCAGCAGTGTGGTCTCGGGGCAGACACGTCTCCTCTGAATCTGTTTCCACATTTGTCAAACGCAGTTGACCGTGCAGGTCCCGGCCCAGCATGTGGAACAAATGTCAGTCTTTTCCTGCCCACCACCCACTGCTGGGCCGGGCCTTGTTGCTGCTGGCCAGGGTGGCTAGGGCAGCCCATGGAAGATGTCAGATCGGCACTGATCTGGCTGTTTTGGCTGGCTGACCTCTGCTGGCCAGAGGGAGGTGGAGGGTGGGGGACAGGTCCAGGCAGCACCAGCCCCTTGGTCAGGAGATCGCCGAGATGGCAGAAAGAGCTGGGGCTTAGGAGCCACCAGGCCTGCGTTAGAATCTCAGCTCTGATAGGTAGCAGCTGTGAGAGCTTGGGCACGTCACCTAAGACCTTACCAAGTCTGTTTCCTCTATAAAATGGAGAGGCCCACCCTCGGGTTCTGAGGGGCTGGAACAGAAGAGCAGTGGGGAATGTGCACCCGGCTCAGGCTCTGAGGACTGGCTGAGATCCCTTCTTCCTCTGCTTTCCTTGTAGCCCACATGGGGCCAGCATGGGCCTTGGAGCAGCACCAAGGACCCACTCACCCTTCTGCCCCTGAGTCCGGACCGGAGTCGGCCTGGAATCCAGGCCCACGTGGACGCCCCTCCCTAGCTTGCAGACTCAGAGTTGGGGGAGGCTGAGCATGGCGCACTGTGCAGCCCCAGCTCCTGCTGACAGAGAAACTGCTCACAATAAAAGGCTCCTGCTCCACTGGGCCCAGGTGTCAGCCTGCGTGGTTGGGAGGCTTCGCTGAAGTGAGAAGCTGATGAGAGCGCAGGAGGGGCTGGCTGGGGGCACCCACCCTGAAACCTGTTTCTGATTTCCTTTGCTGCTCGCCCCTCTCTCCGCCTGGCAGCTTTCCCGGATTAGCTGCTGACGTCAGCAGCTGCCCAGCCTGGGGAGGTGTATGAGGGCTGTCTGGTAGATGGGAACACTCAAGGAAGGGGGCCTGTGCTTAGCTTTGCAAAATTTGTCCTCCAGGGAGCTGGGAGGTAAGAAGAGCTGAATTGTGTCGGGTACTCACATATTTGAGCAGCACATCCACATTGTAAAGATAAATAGCTCAGAGAGGTGGAGGGACTTGCCCCAAACCAGCCACACATCTGGTTGGAACCTGGCTGCATCCCGCTGCCTGCTGGACCCACAGCTGCTAGGTCTGCAGGGCTCATCTCAAGGTAGGTCAGTTCCATCTACATCATGGCCACAGTGGCAGCTGCATGTGTTGAGCACCTGTGAGGACGGTGTCCCATTCTACAGATAAGGATGTCATAGGTGCTCAAGATTCCGGAGCTAGAGTGAGGGGGAGGCTGAGCTGGAGGCTTTGTAAGCTCTAAGGAGGTGGAATATGAGACACTACCCTGATCCCAGGCTGGGAACAGTCTGCCTGCTGTTACTGCTTTGGGAATTCCAATTTGAAGATTTGAAACCCACTCTGGGTATGAATTTTAGTTCTGCAGCTGTGATTTGGGGCATATTACTCTGATTTCTGAGCCTCAATACTTATTTGTAAAATGGCCATTTAAAAAAGTCGACCTTGTCCTGCCTGGGTGGCGTAGTTGGTTGTGGGTTTGATCCCTGATAGAGGTATGTGCGGAAGGCAGCTGATCGATGCTTCTCTCGCACATCGATGTTTCCCTCTCTCTTTCTCTAGAATCAATAAAAAGCATATCCTCAGATGAGGATTAAAAAATAATAAAAATGAAAGTCCACCTTGCCAGCCTGTCTCCAACCTCCAAATATATGTCTTCCTCCTTAGAATTACAAGTGGTTCTTGGCCCCTCAAGCAACAGGGAGCCTGAGCACCACCACCAGGCA